CACTGCCCGACAGCCTGCCTGTTCGCTCTGCTCGCTACTCGTAAGAAACTTCTCCTCTAGGGTTGCCACACTTATCGGAGGGCGCAAGGCGCGCTCCTTATCGCCATCACCACAGAGTTTTCCCCCCAGTTCCTTTAATGGCTATTCAAAATGAATGACATAGGTTATGAAATTTCTCTCAGAGAGTATCCGTGCTGTCGGTATTTTTTTTATGATTACAAAATTAGAATTTAAAATTAGAAAAGATCAAAATGCAATTCAATATATAACAAGGTATTGACACATATAATAAACATAAAATAACAAGAAATATGTTAAGATATGAATTTTAAAAAAGTGTTTTAAATTGTTATGTAAGAAGCAAGTTTCTTAGGGAAGTGAACATATCTTCCTGATCTGGTGACAGTTTGTGTCTTAGAGAGTTCGTTTGCAGATTTATTCTGCTGAACTGTCTTTAAGTCTTTATTTGTTTTTAGTTCAGGCAATTTAGAGTCCGAAAGCAAATAGGCTGGTTTCACACGGTCTATAGACACAGTAGATTTCAGACTGTTAATATCAACTGTGAAAGTTTTGTCCGTTCTAGAAAGAACTTTATGCGGACCTGTATATGGTTGGCACAGAGGTGGCTTTACTCGATCGACACGTAAGTATACATGCGTACACGACTTTAAGGTAGCACTTACGTAACATTTTTCTTGGCAATGTGCAGATGTTGCTATGGATTCAACTGTTGCATTCTATGCCGAAGATTCGTGATAAATTGTGTGTCATACGGAGATATCTTAGATGACGTTATCATATCACTAGGCAGCTTGAGAGTTGTGCCGTACACCAGTTCAGCACAAGATGACTGTAGATCTTCCTTTACGGCTGTCCGAATACCAAGCATAACAACTGGTAGTGTTCAGTCAGTCCAGTTATTGGTCTCGTGAGCCTTGAGAGAAGATTTTAAATGTCGATGAAATCGTTCAACAATGCCGTTGGACATTAAATGATAGGCTGTTGTGATTCTGTTCGTACCCAAAATGCGCGTGAATTCTGCTTAAAAAATTGCGGATCTCATTTGAGAACCTTGGTCTTGTTATGATCGATGGAGCAGCCAAAACGAGATATCCAACAGTGAAGATGGCTCTGCAAATGGTGGTTTCCGTTTTCATATCCGGGATGGGAATGGCTTCAGGCCATCTGGAGAATCTATCTATTAGAGTCAAAAGGTACACATTGCCTTCTGATGGAGGAGGTAATGGTCCGACGATATCCATATGGATTTTTGAAAAACGTTGCATCAGGAAGAGAGAATGTGCCCAGTGGTGCTTTAGTATGCCTAGTAATTTTCGATTTTTGGCAAGATTCACAGGATTTCACCCAATTTTGATATGACGTTTCATATCGGGCCATACATAACGAGAACAAATAAGCTTCGTAGTAGCTAGCGCAATTCCTGGATGTGACAGATTATGCAGACGATTAAAGATGAGTCTGCGAAAGGAATTCGGAACAAATGGACGAGGAATGTCTGTTGATATGTCACAAAGAATATTACCATCAGAATATTGGCACGGTTTAAATTCCAGTTCAAAGATGATGTGTTGTTTTGAGAAGGTCTTGTACCTCCGGATCATGCCGTTGAGCTTCCGAAAATTTTTTTAAATCCAAAAATGGAGATTTTGTTATGGAATCAATTTCGATTCTTGAAAGAGCGTCAGCAACAACGATTCGTTTTTCGAACCTTGCACATGCCTAATATCAGTAGAGTACTGAGAAATAAAATCTAAATGGCACAATTGTCGAGGTGAACATTTATGAGGGTTCTGTTTAAAAGCATATATTAATGGTTTTTGATCCGTATAAATTATAAATTTCTGCCCTCTAACATGTGTCGGAATTTCTTAATTTCAGAATGAATTAGAAAATAATTCCCTATTCGTACGATTACCATTTCTGTTGACTTTTATTGAGTTTCATAGAGAAAAATGCTATAGGTTCCCATGTTTGTTGAGACAACTGCATAAGTGTGCCGCCGATTGCGACGTCTGAGGCATCTACCCAGATGCTTAGCTGGGCTCCGGGAATAGGGTGTCTCAAAAGGGTAGTCTGAGCAATGGCATTTTTGGCAGCAATAAAGGCTTGTTCAGCATTCTCGTTCCAAATTAATTGTGGGGATGAATCCTGAACACGAGAACGAGATTTCTTTTTATTAATATAGCCTTCTAACAATTTTATTAAAGGAGAAAGAATATGTGCTGCTTTAGGTATGAAACATCTATAAAAGTTAAACATGCCTAAAAATCGGCGAAGCTGAGTGAGAGTGGTAGGTTGAGGAAAATCTAAAATACATTTGACTTTGTCAGGAAGAGTTCAATTCCGTTTTCACTAAGGTGAAAACCTAAGAAATCAATAGATTTTTGACCAAAGGTGCATTTTGAAACATTTATGCAAATCCATATTCCTGAAGTTTGGAAAATAAAGCTTTCAAATGCCTGCAATGTTCCTCAGAATCTTTAGAGGCTATGAGCAAGTCATCGACAAAAGCGTAAACGCCTTCTAAATCCCGCGTGACTTCATCTATAAAACGTTGAAAAGTCGCAGATGCATTGCATAAGCCGAATTGCATACGAGTACTTTCGAATAAACCGAATGGTGTGCATATGGCGGTTTTGTGGATGTCGGCTGGGTTAATTGGTATTTGATGGTATGCCTTAATCAGGTCGACATGACTAAAAATTTTAGTACCGTTTTAAAAAATTTTAGTTAAAAATTTTAGTGCAGCAGTAAAATCGGCTAAACATGGAATAGGGTATTTGTCTTTTATTGTTTGAGCGTTCAATGCTCGATAATCTCCTACAGGTCTCCATTCCAGACTTCCCTTTTTGGAACCATGTGAAGTGGGATGCATAATTGCTGCTCGAAGGTCTCAAATGCCCCAATTGCATCATAGTTTGAAATTCTTGTTTTGCTATTTTTAAGCGATCTGGAGCTAACCGACGAGGTTTTGGCAACCAACAGGTGGACCTTTAGTTATGATATAATGAACGGTGTTATGTTAACAGGTTGGTTAGGATCTGGTAATCTAGTAACTGAAGGAAATTTTTTTAAAATTTTGTGATATGGTGTATCACTAAATACAGTTTTTACTGAATAAATACTTGCATTTTCACACAACCGATGGGTTTTAAAATGCGTTTTTAAATCTTTGAGACATTTGTTTCTGAGATCAGGCACCAATTCAAAGAAATGGAGGAAATCTGCTCCAAGAATGGGTGTACTAACATTTGCTATAAGAAAAGTCCATGTAAACTGTCGTCTTAATTTGAAATCCAAAGAAAGTGTTTTTTGACCATAAACATGAATAGTAGAAGAATTAGCAGCGGAAAAGTGTTTGTTGGGACGAATTCCGTTTTTGAGAATTATTTGCTGGAAGTAAGGACACGTCAGAGCCGGTATCGACCAAGAATGAAAGGTTTGTTCTACGGTCACGAACGAACAGGCGACGTGAAACTTGAGGCAAAGAATAAGTCGCCTCTATTCTTTGCTGGTTTCGTTTCCCTGCCATGAACAAGGTTTTGTACATTTGTCATCTCTACACTTTTCCCAAAACGTCTATGATACCAGCAAACAGAATAATCTCTCCTTTTGGAATTGCTCTTTCCTTATTGCGATCTCCGCGATTTGGCGAGCGACCACGAGAAAGAGAAATGCGATCAATACGTTTTGTTTAATTTTTCTATTTGTTTAAATAATTTATCCTCAAGAGACTGATCGACTGTGCGAGAAAACGGCACAAGTCCCTGGGGTTGGATTTACTTCTAAAATTCTGTCGGCAATTTCTGCACCTTTATCTGCAGTTAAATTGGAAACCGCTGCCAAAAATAGACTGAACATTCGAAGGCAAACGTTGAAGGAATAATTCTAACATTAAGTTATCTGGAACATTTAAAGATTCTGCTTGACGTTTCATATTGCTAAGCAAATCGGATAGGTTTTCAAGAACCATAATTCCTTCTCCAGATAATAATTGGCAAATTTCTTGCTGAGAAGGATTCTCCTGAACGATTTATAACTCAGTTTTAAGCTTTGCATATGGATCAATAGGGTCTGGTTTCACACTAAATCCCGTACTATTGATGCAATATCTGGAGGAAGATGAGCAACTACATAATTATATTTAGTAATGGATTGTGTGCTAGGTTTGGGGGTGGCAAGAGCAAAGGTATTTTCACACATAATAAACCATAAAGAGGGGTCTGATCGGTTATAAACTGGAATTTGGACGGCCAAACATCAGACATTGTGCAAGGTTTTTAAGCCAAAATAAAAGGAAAAAATTTAACTAAAGAAAATGAAATTAAATGATAAGTAGAAAACAGAATTATAAAAAGATCTATAATTACTACTCATCTGTGATCCGGAGGACGAAAACCGATGTAATCCATACTTCTGGTTTGGAGATCTTGAGTGATGGCTTGTAGTCAAAACCGAAGTGCTTGAGAACTGTTCATACGATTTTAACACAGTCCGGGTTACCATTATGGAAATTTCCTGTATGTTTTTACCACCAATCCTCGAATTCCATATCACAGATTATTATGTCTTACTGCATTAATATAAATATTAACAAGACATAGTGCACAATAAAAATTAAGCTTTATTTAGGAACTTCGCGCACACTGCCCGACAGCCTGCCTGTTTCGCTCTGCTCGCTACTCGTAAGAAACTTCTCCTCTAGAGTTGCCACACTTATCGGAGGGCGCGCTCCTTATCGCCATCACCGCATGTTCTTCAGTTAGAACATCAGCACGAGGAAATGTTGTAAAATGAATGAAAACAACCTAAAAAATCGTGTGAAGAGTAAGTGCCATGATAGCTAGTTTACCAGCTTGTCTCATTCTTTTATTTGAAACAGCATTTACATTAGCTTAAAACTACATTTAATATGCTACCATTTATTCTGTAAGTTTGAAAAATATTATGTAATCTTAAAGAAAAATAATAAAAAGTACCATTTGCCTCTGTTCAATGAATGCATCAACACACTGAGAATAACCCTAAAAATTTAAAAAATAAATAAATAAATAAATAGTTACATAAGACATTACAACAAAAGTTAAGCTGAAACTTCAAAAAATGAATTTTGATATATTAAATCGGCACAAGCACATACACACACATATATATAAACTTAAAAGCATCTAAAGTTAGAAGTAAATTGGACTCAAAGCAAGACAATACCTCATTAATAATTGCATCCTTGTAAAGGAGTTAAACATAAAATCAAAACAATTAAAAATAAAAATGATCACAGTAGTACAAACTCGAAAACTAAAAATGCAAAAAGGAAAATATATACAAGACAAAAAAATATAAAAATTAATCTCCCTTTATTGAAACTTTGTAACTCGGAACTCATCAGGAAAAAATGAATTAAAGCTTCATAAAAGTTGATTAATATGCTTCAAAAATGTGTTTCGTTTTCCTGGTAAATTTGAGATAAAAAAAAATAAAGAAACAAATACACTTTACATAAAAACTTAAATAAAACCGAAAAATGTGAATCTCAAATGTAACACGATTTTCCCTACATGCCTTCAAAATTTGGAAAAAAGAATAAAACATGCATTGTTTCTAATTGACTACAAAAAAAAAAACTTCATATAGTAAAATGACCATTTGTAAAAACCAAATTTGTGTAAAATCATTATATGCAAATGCGAAATTTAAATATAAACATCGCAACACAAGTATACTTTAAACCAAATAGTCATTTAAATAATACTTTAAAAATGGACGGTCCCCAATTATGTTTAATTCCAAGAAAACAAATAATTTATCATAGAGCTGCATTAAATAATAAAATCAAAGCAGAGTGTACTTCGGCCAAAAATGGAAAGCCTAATAGAAACAAAATTGAAAGAACCTGTTACATACAAAATTAAAAAACGCAAACTTACTGAAATCATATGACTTCCTTCAAACGAAAATTTACTTAATTTTTTTAGATGACCAAACTGAGTTTCTTGTAGTGGCTCAAAGAAGCCGAAGATGGTAGTTCTTAGAAAAAGTATGTGATAAGGTTCAAAGTGACCAATAGCAGAACGAAGTATTTAAACATGTATTCAAAAAATCCTATCCTGTTAAACTTTGCATGCAGACGTATCAAATGTGGGTGCTGTCGTAAAAATTATTACCACAGGGAAGGGTGATCATCGAATTATTCGACGAATAATATGCTACAATATAGTTTGATTTGTATGAATTAAGAGGCCTATTTTGATATGCATTTCACATATATTACTTTCATGGAAATCAGTTTAGCCAGTGTTGCCTATAGATACAAGTTTTGTGTCTATCCTTCCTTAATTCCTTTTCTATTCTCTCTGAAGATAAACATCTCCTTCCCTTCAAAGGGCAGGAAATATAAAGTATCTTTTCCCACAAGATCAGATAGTTCATGTGATTTTTAAAGCGTCTGGGCAATATTACAATATTACAAAATGTAAATTTAAATTTCTATGTCTTTAAAAATTTGGAATATCAAAATTAAAAGAGCTAATATTTATGGAAACCAGCCTTATAATATTAAACTGTTTTTATCATTTGTACTTAATTTGTAATTTAAATTTTTTCATAATCTTGATTATGCACACTGATTCTCATAACCTTCTTGCCACAAAGATACCATTTTAATAAGTTTTAACAATTTAATTTAACAAAACTTATTATTATATATTTTATAGAACTTTTAATTAATTCTAATGTTACAGATTATTTTTAATACACTTGAAATAAATAAAACTTCTCCCTGATACATTATATATTCAACTTTAGAACTGTAAAAACTCACTTTGAAGTTTGAAAGAATTCCAGCAACTTCTTTCATTTTCACTCGATTGTCTGATTGGTGACATTTAACAAATTCATCTATCAGTTCCCTCTCAATTTCATCGTACTTTTTGGCAATCCTCTGACGAGCCTTCTCAAATTTAGGTCTAGGGCAAAATTTTTAATTGGCTTCAAATATTTAGTATTTAAGAGAAAACTGCAAGAAAACATCAAACTGACATATATTATTATGATACTTCCTTAATATTACGACACCTGTTTTGTAAGCAGCAACAATATTATTGATAAATCACCAATGCCAAACCATCTTCAAATGTCTGGCAATCCTAACAATGATACTTACAGTTGCTCATGATAAGAAGAGCTCTAATTAAACTAAATGTTACCATATTTTCTTTTTTTGCTACTTACGTACTATGACAACTACCTTGGCAACATTTGCCGATAAAAATCTTTATTGATGTTTTGGTTTATGTTTCTAAATTCTTTTTAAAATAAAAGCCCCATTTATAAGGGAACAAAAACTTAAAAACCAAAAATCCCGAATATATATATATATATACAAATTATAAATAAACATATAAACTATATATTACATACAAATTAAACAATTAAAATGAACTTACTTAAAACTGGTTAAAAGAAAACGTTGAAGTTAATGGTGAGGAAATTGGCGCGAAATAGCTTTCAAAATAGCATCAAATTGTGTTTCCCGTTTTTTTCCACCACACAAATTCAGCTAAATAGGTTTCCAAATGATGGCGGCTTGTCATTAATACTGAATATACTGAGAAAATTAATGTTAAAATTTTACATTATCTGTTTTCTCTCAAAATTTGGGCATATTTTAAAAATATGCAATCTCACTTGGCAGTGAGTCATATACAAGCATAACAAATCTTGTGTAAATATTGTGAACCTTTCTTTACAATTGCTCTGTATTTTTAAAATGCCAGTTATTTTTTATGTGTTGAAGTTTTTTAATTGTTTTGCACTAATAGTATATTTTAGTTTTAATTTTAGCTGCTCAACCGGTACAGTGGTTAGCATCGCTGACTGCCGTGCCGAAGGGCCCGGGTTCAAATCCCTCCATAACCTACACTGGTGTGCAAAAATTAAGGACAAAGTCGAAAAATTAGCATATCAGCTGAACAAAGAGGCAGAGCAGACAGAAAGACCAATCAGGAGATTAAGTAAGGTGATGTACGGTAGCACAAGCGCAGATATGCAGGTAGACGTAATGGGGGAGTGTCTGAGTAGTATAAAGTATGTTGTCGGTGTAAGATCAGTATTTCTGGCAAAGAGATTCAACACCGTATAGCAGTTAAAATCACACCAAGTTGCTGCCTCAACGAGAAATGGCAAATAATCAATCTGTTAGACGACATCTGGATGCTTTTACCCGAGGTCGAATCATTGGGAGGTTGGAGGAAGGCCAAAGTGTGACAAGTGTGGCTGCAGAGTTCGGAATTGCTCACAGCATCGTTTCACGACTTTGGAAAAATTTCAAACTACAGGAACAGCTATCCGGGGGTTTAGTAGTGGTCATCCCCGAGGAACCACACCCGCAGATGACCGGTATATTGCCTTACAGGCCAGAAGAAACAGGTGGCAGACAGCGGGAGAAATCGCTAGACACACGACACAGGCAACTGGACGACCAATATCGCATTTTACCGTGGCTAGAAGCCTGCACGCTGGTGGTCTGTTTGCACGACGCCCTGTACGGTGTGTACCTCTAACGCCTGCCCATTGGAGAAGGCGTTCTCTTGTGGTGCCGGGAACACTGGAATTGGAGAGAGAGACATGAATGGGGACGAGTACTCTTTACAGATGAGAGCAGATTCAGTCTGAGTAGCGATTCTCATCGCATACTCATCTGGAGAGAGCGGGGAAGCCGCAATCATCCCTCGAACATCATTGAAAGGGACAGGTATGGAGGTGGCGGTGTTCTCGTTTGGAGAGGCATCATGCTTGGTAGTCGTACAGACCTTCACATCTTCGACGCAGGTTCAGTCAATGGGACCCGTTTTTGTAACGAGATTCTTCTTCCATATGTGCGTCTTTTTAGAGGTGCTATGGGTCCGCAGTTCCTTTTCATGGACGACAATGCACCACGTCATCGCACAGTAGCTGCCGAACAGCTCTTAGAGAGTGAGGATATTGAACGTATGGATTGGCCGGCACGATCCCTGGATCTCAATCCCATCGAGCATGTATGGGATTTTCTAGGCAGAAGCTTGGCAGCTCGTACCTTACCACCAGTAACGAATCCGGAGCTTCGATTGGCGCTGCAAGACGAAAGCCTCAACAACTCACTGACACCCTCATTCTCAGCATGAGCAGATGCTGTGAAATCTGCCTAGCACTCAGGGGAGATCATATCCCCTATTAAAGACCGGATGTTTCTTGCTGGACACCCATCACAGGGATGTTTCAGCCTTCAGTTGCATTGCGCTCCATGCTACTTTTTTAATAAAGCTTCTTTTTATCCCCCTGATTTCTCTTTTAGTAAGTGTTGCTTACATTACTCATGTCCTTACATATTGGGGATCTTACGGTATTAAATGTGTTGAATTGGAAAGCTTTTGTACAAAGTTATATTGAAAAAACCGTTTGGTCCTTAATTTTTGCACACCAGTGTATGTTAGGGTTAATCTGTGTAACCTACAATGGTCGCCAGTTGTGATGAGATATCTAAGTAGTCGTCATAGTACGTAAGTACCCTTTTTTATATATATATAAATGTTAACAATCATGATGGATCATAATTCTTTTTGTCACAAGTACGATTTCACACAACAATATATTTTCATTTAAAAAAAATGTTAGAAATATTAAATATTAAATAAATAGGAAGATGCTATGCAAAAATGGTCATTAAAAAAAACTAAATATCAATGAAAGCATTTAGAGGTGCAATGTGAAGAGCTTAGCTACATGTGAAGATTTTCCTTCGCATACATTTCGACAACTGGTTTAATGGTTTCAGAGTATTGTTTGTACACTCATGTCCATAAATTAAGGATAATGCAAAATCAGGCAAAGAAAGAGTAAGAAGCAAAACAAATTTGACTTATTTGTAAAGCTTATTTATTAAACAAAAGGTAAAGTGCAAAAAAAGATGCTATGTGTTTGATATTATTAAAAAAATTAGCAATTTTTTCTCCCTGGAGCAAATTATAAAAAAGACCTATTTACAAAAAACCAATATTACATGGTTGGTATGATTGTTAATACATTGTATGTCTCCCAGACGATGCAATACAGTCCGTACAACGCCTAGGCATGCTGAGTATCAAATTATCGATCTGATCTTGGGGGATATTACACCACTCAAAAAGCAATGCTCTCCGAAGTTCCGGTAGACATGTAGGAGGAGGTTGACGGGCTGCAAAATCGTCGGCCAAGCATGTCCCACACGTGCTCTACTGGATTCAAGTCTGGTGAGAATGCTGGCCAGTCCATACGGGTGATACCCTCCAACTGAAGGCATTTGCTTACGACGTTTGCACGGTGAGGACGGGCGTTGTCATCCATAAACACAAATTGTGCGCCCATGGCGCCCCGAAACAAACGTACATGTTGTTCCAGAACGACGTCCCAATAGATTTGGCTTGTCATGGTTTCAATTTGAACATGCAGGTCAGTTCTGGAACCCAGAATAATTCCACCCCAAATGAGCACTCCTGCACCACCGTAACGGTGTTCTTCAATGATGTTTTCTTGGTGGTAACGAGCACCTGGAGCTCTCCATATGAAAGTCCAGCGAGAATTAGACTGCAAGCTAAACCTGGACTCGTCGGAAAACATCACACAAGCCCGCTGTTGCGGTGTCCACAATGCATGCTCTCTACTCCAGGCTAACCGCGGACGACATTGAGTTGCAGTAAGTGGAATGCATTTGACAGGTCTACGAGCACATAGACCAATCTGCCCTAAGCGTCTGTACACGGTCTGCCTTGAAATTTTTGTACCAGTGGCTGAAGAGAGCTGACAAGACAGGTCTGAAGCTGTGCTCCGCCTGTTTCTTTTGGCGGTAACTGCCAAATACCGGTCCTCATTTTGGCGTTGTAATGATGGGGTGACCTGTGCTGCAAAGTCTACGAACAATTTTACTTATTTAATTATTTATTGAGCACCTATGAACAATTTTACTTATTTGCCTGTATTCCTTATACAGTCACAAGTCGTTAATCCGGACTCGTCGGGACTTCGGCGGTTCCGGATTATTATTTTTCCGGATTATAGATCATCAGTTTAAATCTGGTAAGATGGCATGCAGAAATTATAAAATTAAAAATATGAAACCGTAATTTATGAAATAAAGAACAATTATGATCTAAAGGGTATCAAAATTTACAAAAAAAAGCTTAATATTTATTTGTTTACTTTATTAAACATTTCTTTCAATGTAAGTTTGTTGCTTCGTTTTTTATGTGATAATACTTTCTCTTTAATTCTATAAACAGATATAATTTCTTGTTCAGTTACAAAGTTCCGCTGTTCAAGTCACGTAATTGCTGTGCCAAGAATACCGACTAACTTGTCAATCGAAATTTTTTTGTTTTCAATAACCTCTGTGTCACTTTCTTCGCTATCGGAAGCGAATTATAATGACGAGGAATTTGATTTAAATCATATCAAAGACGGAGTACATCAAGATGAAATACTATATTTAGTAAGGAATTATAAGCCAAATAAAATAAAAACATCTGCCCTGAAGATAAGGATAGTGCTGAAAGATCAACTTCCAATACATTGCGCGCTGCAGCGTAAAATTGATAAACAGATTTCGGAATGGTTAGATAAACAAAGGATATGCCTTTATCCACTTTTTGCAGCAATTCCACTTTTTGGACTTCGAAACATACTTTCGCTTTGTAGATCTTTTACATATTAGTAAATATATATCAGAACTTCTATTTGACATAATCAAAAATTCAAGCTTACTTTTATAAAATTGCTCTAACAATCTGCAAAAAATAATAAGCCGGATCCAATTCAAAGATTAAGGAACAACGCAATCTGCAACATTAAGTGAATTAGATCATTTTAGCTTAGCTTATACCGTCCGTTATACATTAAACGTGCATTCGTAAATGTATTTTGCGCATGCGAACACACATATTCGCAGCCATAAAGGTCTTACGCGCATGCGTCAACGCGGCGCATGCGCAGAAAGTTTGTAGCTTTGAGGTCCGGATTATAGATCACTCCGGATTATGGGTGTCTGAATTAACGACTTTTGACTGTATATCACTCTCCTACACTCTCGTCATTGTGACGTAACATCAGTGTCATCTGGTTATTTCCTGAAATTTGCATATGATTCTTGAAGATGTGTGTAGTGATTTTACAGGTGATATATTTATTTTAAGTTTGATTTCCACGTGACTCCGAATTATCCTTAATTTATGAACATGAGTGTAATAGCATAGCAATTTATTTAGTGTTTAGGCAGAAGTAATGACATCATTTACATGGTGGAAGAAGTAATCAGCCTTTACAAAAATACAACTATTAAATAGAACAGTCTTATGAGTTGTGTATTAGCTAAATATAATCAAATAAGTGAATATGTGGCCCTGAAAAATTGTGAAAATCTGTTCATACAAGGGGGGGAAGTTAACAGGGTTCTTCCACAATAATGGATATATGGCTGGTTATGACAAAAAGAAAATGGTGAATTAATTTTTGCTCAAGTCCTGAACAGAGGGGTAACCATATAAGGTATTTTCTTCTTCTTTTTTGATTGCCTTCATGGTGTAGTTGGAAGCTTATGCATATTCGAGAGGTCCAGGGTTCTAGACCTGGCGAAGGCATTGCACATTTTCATTGTCTCCAGCACCAATAATTATGTAAATGGCACCCGATCTAAGAGGTGTTGCATGATAATTCATCACCACCAGGATTTGGTGACTGAATGCCCTCTTCAGCTGCCCTTTAAAAAAGGGGGAGCATATAAAGCATTTCCTCCCTCCTTCCTGCATGGTATAATTGGAAGCATGCTCAACGTGTATTTGAGAGGCCCAGGGTTTGAGTCCAGGTGATGGCACTGCAATTTTCACATTTCCTGCTTCGAAAAAACCTAATGACTTTACAACTACATTCATGGCAAAATTTGCTGACCAGGTAGATGAAGGATCTAGAATTTATTCAAAATGCTGTTGAGCATAAATTTCATTTTGTTTGAAAATTTGTCGACCAGGTACAAGACAGAATGCCAAAATGTCCTTGGATGTAGAAAATGCTTCTCATGCCATATTAAAAGCAATTTCAGAAACATGGCAGTCATAAAATGCATATGAAAAGTAAACATGAACTTAGCAATAATTCAAATGCCAATTTGGTGTTTAAAAATTGGGATTTGTAATATCAAAGAAATACTAAAAACTGCGCATAAAATAAAATTTATATTGCATAAATCAAGAAATACCCTTTAATCACACATCATAATTTTTAAGTTTTTAAGATTTATCTTAATTCTTAATTTTTAATCATTATTATTAAGTTTTAAGTAAGAACGATTTTAATAAAAAATTTCTCTGTCTCATAATACTAACTGAAATACAGAAAAAAAAATGACAGGGTCTTATTTTACTGCATAACAATGGTTACATTTACAGCTACAAAATACTAAATAATAAATAAAATTCATGATAAAAATTTTGTACATGAAAAAATAGTAGACCACATACTTCCCTGATGGCAACTCTTGTGCTATAAGATGAAGTTTCTGAATAATGTCAGCTGCTTCAAACAGCTACAAAAAAAGAAAAGCAATATTAATTCAAATGAATAACGTATAAATGAAATAATTTATCACATAAAATAAAAAATATGTTCTTTTATAATTATCATTACAATGAAATTAAAAATAAGAATACTGCCCGAGTTCTTTTTAATGATTAAGTGTAATTACTTTATTAGGATCATTCAGAACACCATCAGTTGTTGGTTCCGGACTCAAAAGCTCAGCAAAGTGATTCATCAGTTTCTGTGCTTCTACAGCACGGGCTCTAGGAGTATTTACACTTTCCAGCTGGTCTCCCAGATGAACAACTTTTGTTGCAACAAAATCAATTCTTTCATCAAGTTCATGGAATGTTTCATATGCAGCCTGAAATAAAAATATTTCTCATCATCATATTTATAGCTAAAAAAGGTACATATTAAAGATTTTGAAGATTAGAGTTAATATAATATATGTCATTTCAAAACAATTGGCAATTATTTTAAATAAACATTCACAACATTTTATTTAACAATCTATATTCACTTATGCAAATTTTACATTAAAAAAATGCATATTTTTTCTTTAAATGTTACATTACCGATTCTTAGTTTAAATAGCAGATGATTGTCAAAAAACATTTGCAATTCAAATGGTATTTTTCTATTAAATACAAAAATTAAATCTTATTTTCAACAAATGTCTCAATTTATGACTTGTGCAGTACCTACTTCTTATGTTTACATTCACAAGCTTAAATTGCGGTGGAGCTCAATGGAGCCTGGCTTCGGTACTTCTTAGTTTTGGGGATAAATTATAAATTTACGTGGAGCACACTGGAGACCTAAATAAGAAGGCTCCGGCATTTCTTTTATGGAACTGAACAAAAATTTCAGTAGAAATTTGATCTCGAAAATTTTATTTTTAGCAATAAAATTACATTAAAAATCACTTATTAAAGTTTAATTTATTTCTTTAGATTTTATTAAATTTTAATTATTTAATTACTTTAATCATTAATTATTTTAATGATTAATTATTAATGATTTTGTCAGCAATTTTATTTATTTATTTATTTATTCTTGTTCCTCTTTCCTTCCTGATGGTCTACCACAGGGCTCTGGTACTTCCAATTTTAGATGTTAAGCCCTGTTTGCTTTTAAAAATTAGCCAGACTGCATGAATATGTGCACTTTTTCTTTTAATTACATTTGGATTTATTTTGAGGCATGCTTTTACTTTATTGTAATGTTTTCAAGTTTATTTATTAAGTTTATATATCTGCAATCAGCAAGAGATTAGGTTCTTGTCCATAACATTAAATATACTATTTCATTTACCATTACAGATTTCTGATGAATTTTAAATGATATAAGAAATTTTAATTCCAATATTATTTCTATATCTATATCAAGATCAAATTTAATACTAAAATATTTTTATTTACTTCCAGTTAAGGATTCTGAAAAGCACTGTATAATAATCACCAAAATCATAACTCCTTATTAAACAGCTCTGAGAATCTTTTTGGCAGAAACAAGCTTGAAAATTATTTTTCTCATATGTTAATAATTCTAAATATTGTTTTCAAAACAAAATAGTATAATAATGCAACAGAATGATAAACTGATAATTTATTTAGTTATATAGAACAAGCATTTTGCTCTATTAAGTATTCATTAGATAAATGTATAAGCCATATTCAAAAACAGCATTACATTTTACACAAAACACCCTGCTCAAAATTGCCCAAACAACTATTTTTTAACTCAAAGAAATTGAAACTACATTTTTTTCCCACAAAAACTAAACATGAAATTTTTCTGCATTATCAAATAAGTCTAAGAATTATATTTCCTATGCAAGAGCAAGTTTAAAAATTAATTTTCCCACCTATGACTACCTTTCCTAATACTTTAATAAACAGCATAATTTTTAACATTTTGCCATTGTGTCATTTGCAAATATTATTTCATTTCTTAATGCTGCTCTAAGATCTATAGAGGTTTAGGAGGAAAGAAAAATCTTACCAAATTCTAAATACTGTTTGCCAAGTGTTATTTTTAATGCAAAAAACATGTGTTTGCAGCTATTCAATATCAAGCTTGAGAAATTTTATGGACCACATCCCATGTTCTGATTCAATAGTAAGAAAAGAGGAGAGAGAATTTAAAAAAGCTCAGAATAACATTCATGAATGAAAAATAGACTGCTGGACTATCGCTTATGAAAGCCAAATTTTTGGTGGCTGTCAACAGGAAAATTCACCAGGACTGGTGCTTTACAATTCTGCTGCTTTTCATGCATTTTATAAAAATATCATAAACTCTTTTACACCACAACATCAAAACTATTGAAATATGACTGCCTTAAAAATATTTAAAAAATTTAGTTGGTACCATTTTTAACTTCTTTACTCAATACCACCATAAAAAAGAACAAATTACCAAATCACATCACTGTGAACTTTTGAATACTGCTGATGGAACAAAGAAAATTGGCGAGATCAAAAGTCTCTACACAAAACATAAAAATCAGGCTGGCTATATTCATCTGAAGCAATTTACACAAACAGACAAACAAACAATTTGCAATAAAAGTGTTCGATTCAAAAACAGTGGCATTTGTAAAACCTATAAAGGAAGTCATTATAACACCCACGGTTGAATAATTCACTTTAACTTATGGAAAGTAAATAAAACAATACATGTCCACAATAAAAAAGAAAACTATAACTATAATTTTTTTTAGTTTCCTATAGCAGTGTTCATATGGTATGCACAAAAATTTTAAGATGCTCAGGGAATGGCAGACCAAAAAAGTGACAAGAAACTACACATCATTTTGTTTTACATTTGAAAGAATGCATATAACAATTTCTGCCAAAAAACAACAAGATTCATTTATTATCATTCTCATCACAATGTTGCTGATCTAGGAGAATTCAAAAGAGGTCAGATTGTAATAAACCAAAGACTGAAAACGAGTATCTCCGAAACTGCATGAGTGGTAGGTTGTTCCCAATCTGCTATAGTTAGTATTTATGCAAAGTGGATAACTGATGGTAAAACCAGCACTAGATGCCAAGATGTTGGATGTTCATGCGTCATCAAAGAAAAAGGACATCGGAGACAATCCCACTTGATACAGCAAAATCGAGGCCAGACAGCAGCTCAGCTGACAGCCCAATACAATGAAGGTCCAAGTGAAAATGTTTCAGAACATAGTTCAGCAGACACTACTGGATATAGGACTGCACACCAGATGTCCCACATGTGTACCTCTGTTAAACAAGCATCACTCTCAACTATGTCTACAGTAGGCCAGGGAGCATCGAGGCTGGACCATGGATAAGTGGAAGACGGTTGCTTAGTCGGATGAATCAAAATTTCTTATTCACCATATCAATCATGTCAAGTAGGCCATCTTTCAGACAAAAAGTTGCCAAGAACTTATAGCATCCATGCAAAGGCGAGTTGCAGCTGTTTTACAGGCCAAAAGTTGCACAATGTGTTATTGAGTAGGTGGACATAATGTTTGGGCTCTTCAGTGTAATTAGCATAATGCAAACATAATTACACTTACTGTTAATTTTTCATATTGAAATCTTTTCTAATTTTACTCTGCCTTTTCATACTTGTATAAGCAAATTCTATCATATCAAAAAATAAACATAATTGCTATCTTAATTGCTATTAAAAATTTCCAGTTAACAAAAATACCTGATCATCTATTTATAATACCACCCTTTCCTTGGGTAGAATGATATTAAGTACAGCTGATCAGTGTAGATATACCAAATTAATAACAGACATTGTAATTTACTAAAGCTACAAAATGTTCACTTCTGCAAAACTGTGGAGCAATTGCAATGAAAAGATAACGTTGTAAATATCTGTATTTATTTTTTTTAATGCTTGTTGTTTTTCTGAATTTTTAACATAGTGTATTGTTATACTTAAGTTTTTTATTTGTTGCTTTTAGTTTATTTTGCATTTGTGGCTACACGTTATATACAGGGTCTGCCAGTGAAATGGGAAATTTTAAAAGAATATAATTTTTTCATGAAACATTAATTATCAGAATTTCTGTTACAAATTTGAGTTAAGTGAACTATGCCATTTTTATTTAAAAAAAAAAAAAAATATTGCTGTTCAAGTGAAAGCCATTTTTGTGTGAAAGCCATTTTCTGTTCAAGTGAAAGCCATTTTTGTGAAAATTTTAAGTGAAGATTGGAAGAAATTATTTTGTGTAAATAATTTCTTCCAATCTTCACTTAAAATTTTCCATCACTCAACAAAACATGTCAGGTTGAATCCATGCAATTTCTAGTCTGGTATTTACTTTTACTGGTATTTTCCAGCATGATTTGTGGTCTATCAATGCATGCCCAGCTCTCCAGAAATCGCCAAAGAAAAAAGTCACATGTAAACAAATCTGGGATCTTGCAGACCACAAGATGATGCCATGTTTGGATATGAGTACATTCATAGAGAGATCTTGTAAAACAGACGGGGACACATGAAAAAATGTATCCCTGGCTCTATCCTGCTAGAAAAAAAAATTAATTTCTGGAAACATATGGAGCTGATGCAGTAAAAATGTTCTAATCATGTGTGTGTGACATTCTACAATAACAGATGGGGTATTTTTCTATCAGCTTGAAAAAAATATGGCCCAATAATGCCAGATTATGAAAGTGCACACCACACCATAATTTTCAGATTACATAATGGTTTAATGGTTTTTTCATGCAACTCACCAGGGTTTACATCTTTCCAATATCAACTAAAGTCACACAGTCACCATTCTTCTAAAACGATTTTATGTAGAAAGCATGTTCTATGCTAGACCACTGCTATGTGTTTGATAAACGGCATTAAATTTCAAACAATAATTCAAAACCTCCATGGCCCTTTGACAGTAGAAAATGAATTACAGGGCACTTAAAATTTCCAGCTTCAAAGGAAGACTGTACATAAGTACTTATTTCTTATACAGATGTTTCAATTATGAGTGCAATAATGTTAATACATATTGTAAAAATAGTTCAATTAGAATGCAAGATTTTAGCAAATATGCTCCCTATGGATCTTGCTGATTAATTTTTCCTGAGGCTTCCAGAAACTTGGGTTACATTATATAAATACAGCTGCAAGAGTTAAGATGAGCTAATAATATATTATCAGCATAAAAGTCATTGTTAAAAAATATCAACCATCTAAGAAGCTGAAGTAATGCTTTAGGTACTTCAATTATGAACACTCAAAATACCTCTGCATTAACAAGCCAAGGTATGTAAAATGTGATTTAGACCACAGAAGTTACAAATGCCAGCTTGTAAATGCTGACAAGACCATTTGTCATTTTTGCAAAACTCAGCATGCAACATCCTACACAGGGTGTGAAGAGTACAAGAAATAATGAACAGAAAATGAACTGAGCCAACATGTACTCATTTCTGAAAACTGACATGAGAATGGCCCAGAAACAAACAAAACTGCAAGAAGCAGATTTCCCAGCCCTCATTCTAGGAGCAAAGACATCCGTAACCATGGGCACAGAAAGAAAAAATATATAGTGATAGCTAAAAAGAAATGAAGAATTGACTTCCATATCACCTTCAAAAGAAAATTCTCTCATTGATTAAGAAAACACTTTGCCTGACTACTAAAGACCTAAAAACTGCAAATTCATCAGATATTAAATTTGAATTAGTACATTCGTTCTCACCCTTTTTTGCTCCATGCACTCCTCTTACCATGCTAGAAGACCATTTTGCACTCCCTTACAAAACTTTAAAAAAAAAAAAAAAAAAACTTTTATTTAGATAAATGTTTAACGGCACAGCAAGAAGCAGATGGGTGTCGGGCTGATTGTATTACCCTCTGAAACTATAAACTATAAAATTCCTCTCCAGGCAGATTTCCCCCTAGCTGAGAACCCCTGAATTAGGATTTAAAGCCATCAAGGTATTAGAAGAGTTCGCACACTAAGCAAGCAGCCACGGGGCACTTCGCAGATAGTCGCAGTTCTAAACCCAGAAAGAAAATGTTTGCAATTAACTACAAAACTGCAAAATAATTATGTTTTTGCAGTCTTCTATTCCCTTGTATAAATTGCATATCAGGTAGCATTTATTATGGGACTACCCATTTAAAGCCAAATACTACACCCAACAGTGGATTACCCATTAGCTTCAGTAATGAGTACAAACTTTGATTATTTACAAGCTCACCAAATCCACCCTTCCCTCCATTCTAAATTCCAAAGTTTTTGAGCAAATTAGTAATTAGACTCAGCTATGAGATTTTTTGGTTTAAAGAGCATTAGTTAAACTGACATTTAGAGTTTACTCTAGGGGATTTGGGAAATTGATGATATTTTTCATTCACTAAGGAGGAATTGCTCAATATCTGCTCCTTGAGCTATTTATAGCTATTTATTGTATTTCATGAATTTTTATAATAAATTGTCAATAATTTTCTAAGATGATTTGAATTCTATATTAACATTACACACAACAAAAAACGTAAAAACCCTCTTAGTCAGTCATTCAGCAGTATGATTCCAAGTGGGGATGAAGTAATAACATTAATTAATCAATCAATGTGTGTGTATGTCCATTTCCTAATGCCTATCATTTTAAGGAAAACTGTATTTGGCAAATTGCATTAAAAAGTATAAGAAAAATATATGTAACTCAATACTTCTACATAGTACCATCACTTTAAGTCATAAATATATACATCCATCAAACTTATTTTATATGGCATTTTATGTTAGTTAATGAATTATTATGATTTGATTCTTTACTATTTTTTCTCCTTTTAGCCCTCACCAGAGTGCAAAACATTTTGAGAGTATTTAAGAAAAAGGTTTTGAATATTTTAGAGATAAAGATTTGTGATGGTTTTGAATATTTTACAGTTAGAGCTTTTTAGGGTTTTGAAAGTTTTAGAGATAGAGTTGCAGCTTTACTTTATACTGCCAAGTTCTAGCAGCTAATACTCAGATCTTAGCCATTTACCAGTCAACGTTAAATCATATCATTATATTTGAGCCAGCTTAGTTAGGCAAATTTGTATAGTCTCTGGCTATGATACTTTTAATTTGTAAATTCAACTTTATGTTGTTTTACTTTATACTTTTTATGTTACTCTGCATGTGGTGGAGGTTCGATTGTATGCACAAGTACTGCCTTCTGTTTAAATTTAGGTTTGATAAAAAAAAATTATTTAAAACCTTTACAAGATCTGATATTTACATAGACAAAGCGATAACTAATATTACACAATTAGGACTCTATATTTTTGCAAGAATACTTATTTGTACTAGACCTCATCATATTGAAATAGTTAATTAATATTACCTTTTTCTAGAGCTCAGAAAAGTTTTAGTTGTTATATCAGGCTAAGCAATCATATGGATAATTACCAGTGCTACCTATAACAATTGATAGCACTGGTAATACTGACATACTGCATGTATAATAATAGCAGTATCATATAATAATATACATTAAATGATAACACTTAGAACAAGTTTCTATAACTGGAAAAAAAACAGTTTTGGTAAATGCTATTAAAAATTAAACATATTTTGCACTTAATCAGGGCAATTTGCAGCAAATTCTTCATCTTGTTCCTTATTAAAAATTAAACATATTTTGCACTTAATCAGGGCAATTTGCAGCAAATTCTTCATCTTGTTCCTTAATACAGTTTTAAAGAAAGCAATTTAAAAAAAAAATTGAAATCAAAATATGTTATAAATCTTTCTTCATGTAAGAATTATGCTACTACACTGCAAAAATTTAAAAGAATCTATATAATTAATTTTTTAATATGTTAATTATATAATTATTTTTATGTTTGAATTCCAATTCTATCAAAAAGAGAATATTTTTTCTGCTCTTTATATAGCATATTTAAAAAAAATTTTTTTACATTTATTGTTGCACTTAAGAAAATCATGTATTATGTTGTGATTCTGAGAATATTTAAAATAATATATAATGGTTACATTATTCTTTTCAATTAATTCTTTAACTTTTCCCCAGTGTGTTTTTTCTTCTTCTCTACAAATCATTTCCAGACATCCACATTGCCTCTGCTTTGATTCATAAGTTAACTGAAGATGGTGAATAGCTTGTTCAAAAGCTTTGTGAAGTGCACTAGGATCAAAGTTCTCACTGTCACTTTGTATACCACCAATACGCCATGATAGCCTTTCTACATAATCTTCTGGATCAAAAGGATCCTCAGCAAAAAGCTAAAAATAAAAAAATATCATATAAATTTTCATATTTTAAAGATTATATTTACACAAATTTATCAATTACATTAGTTACATAACTTTCGTTAAATTATTCACAAAAATAAATAAACAAAAGTTCCACTAATAAAGAACTTTCATAGTTCAAAATATCTGCATAGACTTTCTAAAGAATAAAATATACAAATCTGAAGACAATATTATCATAGCATAACCACAAACTTTATTTTAAATCATATTTTTACATATATTTTTGTATTTTTATCATATTTTTACATCTTTTGATGTGTTTGCTGATAAATATTTATAAGGTGGCAATATGTAGGATGAGAAAAAATGGCACTTTTTTCTCCCTATTTCTCCTTTTTTCTCTCCTACAACCTGTTTCTTTCTTTAAAAAAAATCAGAGAGTTGTACAAATTTCGCAGTGCACACACATTAAGCATTACATATAATATATTATACCCTTACGGTTTTTCATTTTTCAAAAACAATAATAGCATTTTCTGGTTTCTGTCAAGTTAATTTTACATGTCATCAAATTTTGCAAAGCACTTGCAGTAGCTACTTTAACAAGAACGTACTAATACATTTTATAATATACATTATTAATTGATATAATGTGATGAAAGTAGCTCTAATTTTCTTTTTTATTAGGTATGTGTAAAAAGACCACTTTTACATTCTTTAATTTTCTGCCATATCTTACATGCTGCTTACACAATTAAATTTATGCTAATGGATAATGATTTTTGCAAATATCATTAACCCTCTGAGCGGCCAGGGTTTTTGCTAAGAAAGCACAAATTTCCCAAAACTACTATGAAAACATTTTTTTTTTTTTAATTTTAATGTTAAAACTCTCCTGGTATTACATACCTGGATTTGTGTACTTTTGATATATTTCCTTAATTTCTTTGATATATTTTAATATGCCCATATATATACGTTCTCACAGACAACACAAAAAATCTTCTAAGTCGTATATGTATATGGCCTTGCTGCTTAGAGGGTTAAAGTAGATTTTTGTTTTTGCACTCATTGTATCAGCTGGTTGTCCTCGTACTGTTGTTGGCACACAACATTACTGATTTTCATCCTCTAGTTCTTTCTTTTTAACATAAAACCAAATTTAAATTTATGTTCTCAATGGGGGGAAAGCATTTTAGTCAGGAACATATGGAAGGAGAAATTTGATATTTATAAAAATTGTTCAAATTAATGTAGCTTTACAACAGCTTTATTTCTCTGCTCAACACCTGATCCAAGATGTGATTTTCCCAATACATTGCACAATGCTTTTATCATGCATCTTTGAATATCTATCTCTTTCAATTAAACTTTCATGTTTTTCTAACAATATAAACAGTAGACATGTATATATTTGTGTGTCTGCCTCAGCTTGAATATAATTATCACTCATTCATTCTTAGAGTATTCTCGAGAATCTGTAGATATGTATGTTTTTCACATTATGGAAAAACAGCAGCATCTACAGCCATCAAATTTTCACAAATGTAGTCCTCCACACAAACATAAGCACTTCAAACCCAGAATTTTTAATTCTTATTTAGCTCCTTCATTTCATAATTTGTGCAAAATTAATGAAACTATGATTAACAAATTCAGCAATTTAAAAGCAGTCTGCTGCCATTAGGCAAAGCACAAGATATTTATATTACAAATTCAATCAGAAAAATCAATGATAATAAGCAATGTGTAAAGTATAAGATATTTATGCTATAAAATTAAGCAACAAACTTAATGATTAAAAAAATGTATTACCACTGACCACCCATAAAATAGTTTTATCTTCCATGCCACTGAACAAAGTAAAAGATACTATTTCATTTTCCAAGAGAATGGTACTGACAAATCTCACCCTTTCATAAAGCAATTATTCCATTCCTCCACATTAAAAAGGTCTCCCCGTCATTTTTCTTTTCTTTCTATGACTATGAAATTAAAAAAAAAAAAAGAAAGAAAAGAAAAAAAAAAAGAAAAGAACACTAGTTGTTGGTCATAATTCACACAATCAGTATAATGCTTAGTATTATTGCAATTTAATTGTAAATAACTTTCCAATCATTGCAAAACTTCATAAAAACTGAAATTACTATTTAAATTAAGAGTACTGTATATTTCCAATCTGTCTATTGCTCGTGCATTTTTTCTTCAAATACATACCCAAAATTTGAGATCCGTATAGAAGCTAAAATTGGGAAGGGGAATTCTTGTACAGCCGAAACATGTTGCCAAGCAGGTAAAGTGGGTGGAATATTTTCCTACAAAACTGTTGTAAAATAAAATATAATCTAATGACACAATCTGGTAACCCTTAAAAAATTTGGACATTCCTCCCATTCATTTGTTACCTTGCATATGATCTGTGGTATCCGTGCTAGTATTATTTTTGTTTTGGTGACAATATAACAAAACAGTAATATAAACATTTTCATAAAATGAATAACTCATTTCATTTAAAATTAATTTTTTCATATTTAATTGCCATAATCTAAAGAAATAAAAGAAAAGTGCTATATTTGGTGATTTATCGCTTGCATTCAACTAGCAGAAAAGTATTTATGTTATTTACGAGATAGGCAGATCCATACATTATCTTACAATACAGTCACGAATACCTCTGCATTAACTGAATGTATTTAAGCTAACTAGATGGATAAAAAACAGGAATGTCACACATCTAGGCATCCAATTTTTCAACCACAATCTTTCAGAAATGATAGATATATTAAATTAATAAAATTCCTTTAAAATTCCAACTGTTAAAATATATACAGCATTAATTGTTTATTAAAAGCGATATTGACAAATTTATCACCATTGAAGTTCTTGCATTAACTATGCCTTTAGAAGTAATATTGACATAGTTATCACCTTTGAAGTTCTTGCATTTTCACAAAATTCAGTTCTGTTCATCATTAACTGATATCTTTCTGTAATGATATTTGAAAGCTTTTATAACATCCTAAAATTAAAGGCTGAATGTTAAAAGTTGTATCTGTAGAAGAATCACTAATGTCACAGAAAGATGTCAGAGTTGTTATGTTGCTTAGGTTACCTAAATAGTAAAGCAATTTTTTCATTTTTCAATTCACTGTCCTATTTAAAAAGAAAATCAGTAAAAATACCTATTTGGCATCCATGAGTTCTTATTGCTGTGGTAAGCTTGAAGTAAATTCTTGAATTCTTTCAAACCTCAAGGTTTTCTTCTTTTGTCAATAACAAGTGTTGTCTTGTTAGCTATTGCATCCATATTGGATGTCAATAACACAGTAACTTATTCCTCCAATTTCTTAAATCAGCTGTTTCACTTTTTAATATTAATGTGGTAATGTTCTGTAATGCAGGTTAGTTTCATCCATATTACAATATTTATTATGGCTTATATTCATTTAGCAGCCCAAGTAAAATGTATCCAGTAATCAGCTGCATGATGATCCAAATCTTCCTTCTCACCATGCAATTTCTGATGGACAATTCTGGATTTCACTTTCTCTAACTTGTGAGCCATATGACAATTGCCATAAAGTTCTCTCCTAACATTTAGAAAATAAGTGAAAAAAGCTCTAGAAACTGATACCACCTTTAACTTTATAGCTTGAATCCATTTTGGAAAAGTAATTTCAATGTCTATCGATTTGCTGTCATTTTTTCACTTCTTTGAGGCATCTGCATTTTATTAGGTCTTCATTAATTATAAATTTTTATTAAGTAATTTTCACAATGTTGTTTGGGAAATTCCCAATTAAAATGTAGTTTTTCTCTGGCTGCAATTACCAAGAACATTAAAATCATTTAATTATTTATTCTTTTGATTCAAACTTAAAATCTTTTCCCTTGACATTTAGATGTACTACACTAAAAGCACACAACAAATTTTAAAAAATAAATCCTCCAATGATTTATTCAAATTTAAAAATTTATGCTTCTAGTCAGTAAAAAGATTACCATTTTTCTGTTAGTTACAAGCATGACCTATAACTCTCTGTGAACACAGCATGCCTATCCCAAAGAGAAGGTTTTAAATGTGGAAATCTTAAAATATGGGATACAAATTTGCATTGCCATTTTCTGTCAGCTGGTATTCAAGAGAAACCCTCACTCATTTACAATGTCTCTAGACTATTAGTTTCATTAACCTTAAGATAATGAAATTCAGACCCTCTGAATTCCAATGAGGATAAAGAAATCTGAAAACTATGTCTTACATGTCAGGGATTGGAAAATTTCAGTCAAACCCATTTTGTGGAACCTGAATGATACCTGAATACCTGAATGATAAAGCCATGATCCACAACATGTTGCATGAATGAACTACAAAAAGCTTTGATACATACAAGTAAGATATTCCGGTATACCCAGGAATGATCTAGAATCCAAACATTCAGATCACCAGCAATTTTTTTTTTTTAAATGCTTTATGCTTGCACATTTGATATTTTTACATAATAAAACATTTACACCACTGATATTAACCTGGCAAATCATTATTTATTAATTTTGGCTTTCATCATCGTTCATCGTATGACTATAAACACACTGCAGCTTGAAAATGTCTAAAAAACTTTTTAACTTTTTTTAATATTAGTAACTGAATACCAATAAGCATGGTAATCTTTTATGTTAATATCACAATTAGTGATGATTACAGACCTCGGCTAATTCCACTGCTAAGTATTGAGTCTATTGACAAGGAGAAATTTAACAGAAATTTCTTTCCATATTCAAAACGTGATTTTGGAAACGACATCATTGCAAATTGCAAATCGTAATAAACTGAATGCACAAGTCTGATGAAAAGTTAATAAAATTTATTCTTATTACAAGAAATAAAACAAAATGCTGAAATTTTTTCTCACAGATATTCATATAATATCAAAGTATCACACAGTAGTTATATTTTAAACTACTAAAACATCAAATAGAATGCAGTCCAGAAAGCTAAACCAATCTCACAGCAAATTCACTACAAT